CACCATTAGCTGGGGTGCACTCCCTCCCCCAGAACTCCCCGGCAGGGTGGGGGGGCTGGGGAATTCTGGGAGTTGAAGTCCACCCATCTTAAAGTTGCTAAGGTTGAGGAACCCTGCACTATAGCATGCCGCCTCTCTATCATCACTTAAAAAAAGTATATATATTTAACAATTAAAACCAAAGCAACAAATATGTGTAATAACTAAAATACCAGCTAAAAGCTGAAGCCAGAACAAATCCATACCACCACCACCACTCCTGAAACTGAATACTATCTTTTTAAAAATGCTTAAAAGCCATTAATGACAAAACTGGGGAACAGAAGCAGAAAGCCAGTGCTGCTAAAGTTAGCTCTCAGACTTTGAGAGAAGATAGTACTTGCTTAGACTCCAAAAACACCCCAAAGTATAGTACCAAATGAACAGAACACGTTTTCTTGCAACAGATTTTTTTAAAAACAGATTTGTGTCACTTAGCTTTATACAGTCAAAGGAGTTTTCCATGAGGCATCCTCAACTGCTTGCATGAGAAATTCTCCAGAAATTTGGAATTTGGAAACTTTAATGCAGTGTTTCTCAACCTGAGCAACTTTAAGATGTGCGGACTTCAACTCCCAGAATTCCTGGCTGGGGAACTCTGGGAATTGAAGTCCACACATCTTAAAGTTGCCCAGGCTGAAAAACACTGCTTTAATGATTATCTGAGCAGATACCAATCCTGTATGTATAATGCACAAAGATCCCAAAGAATAACACACTGAACAGGGCCAATGAATCACAACATTAGTGTTACGATACAACAATATTACAGCATTTTTAATGTACTGATAATAACGGCTAATGAGTGCTTCAAGTTCAGCTCATCTACTGGTGACTACATGAATACATTCATGTAATTTTCTTGGCAACAGTATTAAATTAAAAAAGTTTCTCTAAAGAGGTTTACAGCAGAGTAGAACCATATTACAAAATCCTATCATGCTGCATGTATCATGGGGAAAACTCACCACACAGACAAATCCCCTATGACCTTATCTAAGCCAAAGTCAACTTGACACCCTATTCTTGCCTCAAGGCAATCCCTGAACAATGTTTTGCCTGTTTGCCTTTTTTATGGGATGAACAACATATGCTGATGATGCTTCTGGGGGAAAATGGGGAAGAGTGACAAATGAAATTATAGAACAGACCTATTTCATCTTTTCCTCCTTAACAGATTTAGATGTTCTGTTTCTGTTTTATTTTTTAAGATGACAGTAGAAGAGGGAAAATACAAAGTAACATAATTAAAATCTTGTTTTATTAGGATGTTATTTTGGGGAATTTCTGCCACCCAATTCCTCTGCTTGCTGGGTTGACTATAATTCAATAGCCAAAGCATATGAAGGGGTTAGTTCTATCTGGTCTCTCCCATCCTTGACTGAGTATTGTGGTTAATTGATAGTTTACCTGGACTGGCGCACTGGTGGAGAGATGAGCCACATCTCCAATTCTGGCTGCAGCACGGGGGTCGCTTGAACTTATCAGGACCGGGGCGCTAATCTCCATGGAATGCCTATTGTTACTCATGGCCTGGGAGGTTTTGTGGGTCATACTGAGCGCAGTGAAGGAGTGGCGCTTCTTGGCATTCTTCTTGCCATCAATGTGCCGCTGAATGGCACTGACTGCTCCGGCACTGTTCAGGGTACAGCACTGGGCTGTGCTTATGGCCAGGTTAGTGTCAGCTGGCAAAGGGACATCGCTGCCAGATGCAGCAGCTACATTGGTCTTGTCCATCTCAATAAGCTGCTTAGCTGATTCGTTGAGCTACAAGAAGAAATAAAAAAAGAAGGGGGCATTACCGAGGTGTTATAGTTGGATAGCTATAGAATTCAAATTCCATCATCAATTGAGAGCGTAAACAGTAGAAGTCCATCATCCTAACCATGATATTTTGCTAGTACTGTAACTTACACATATCAATACAATCCTATGTATGTTTGTTTTCAAAAATAGATCCCACCTAGGTTCAGCTAGAACTTACTGTTAATTAATGTATATGCGACTAACAGATTTCTCTCTTTTATCAGCAGATTGCAACACACATGAACAGTGGCTATAATTTGGAATAAAAATATTTTGTTACATAGATGGTTTGTTGTAACAGGAGCCAATTCCTCCCATGCAGTTGGTACAATGGACTAAAATCCCACTGAATTAGTCTTCTTTGGAGAAACTGAAGTTATTATTTATTTATTCAGATCAGCCCTGTCATAGAGGCATTAAGGCCATACAATGAGAAAAAGAAGGCGGTATTACAGAGCTGTAACTCTATTAGTGCAGTGCAAAATTTACAGTTCTATCACTGAAATGAGACATTATTTCACGCAAATCCTAAATATAAAAACAGAAGACTTCCTTCCTTCCTTGCCTGTGAATCAGTGTTGATTCCTGGCAACTGCCTGGACTAGTCCCTGCATTTTTCTTGGCAAAATTTCAGAAGTGGTTTGCCATTGCCTGCTTCCTAGGGCTGAGAGAGAGGGACTGGCCCAAGGTTACCCAGCCAGCTTATAAAAACAGAAGACTTCCTTCCTTCCTTGCCTGTGAATCAGTGTTGATTCCTGGCACCTGCCTGGACTAGTCCCTGCATTTTTCTTGGCAAAATTTCAGAAGTGGTTTGCCATTGCCTGCTTCCTAGGGCTGAGAGAGAGGGACTGGCCCAAGGTTACCCAGCCAGCTTTGTGCCTAAGGTGGGACTAGAACTCCAGTCTCCCAATTTCTAGCCTGAGGTCTTAACCACTGCACCAAACTGGCTCTTATCTTTCTTTCTACTCTAGACAAAACTCTAGACTGAAGCACTGAATAGGATATTTATAAATTATATTGGAAAATGCATTTTGTGTAACTTTTCACAGATATGGCATATGGTTAATACTGTAAGCGACTCTCGTGTGTAATTGTATATCACTGCAAGGTGCCACACTGAGAGCCTATTGGATGTGGCAGCTCATTAATTTTGAATGGCTGTACGAGAGGCCACATTTCCATGAATATTTCGAAAAACAACTTTCTTGTCACAAATAAATTTTTTACTTTGGGCCTGACATTCTCTCTCAGCATAGGAAAAAGAAGGCAAGGGCAAACCACTTCTGAAAATGTTGGCAAGAAAACTGCAGGGACTTGTCCAGGTGGTTGCCGGGAGTCAAGACTGAAAGATATATAGACTGATGGATATATATAAAGAAAGAACAAAGAGCAATTATTTATATCTTGTCTTTCTGGATAAAAATTTTCAGAAAGTATCCTAAAAGAAATATAAATAATTAGCTAATGTGTTTTTAATAAGCTGTACTATGATTGTAACTTTAAAAATACTTTGTAAGGTAAAGTTAGCATCTCCCCAAATCAAAATCTTCCAAAAATGGAACTGAAATACCTAGTATATACAAACACACACAAACAATTGCTTTTAGCAGAAGAAAAAAAAATGAAAACAATGAATGTCACTGGCAATAGTTGAAACAAAACTATTATTTATGAAAGGAAAAAAAATAGCATCCTTCAATATCCAATTCAATGAAAATACTGAGGAATAATATAGTTAGAAAACACTTAAACTCTCAGAAAGAGAGCTCAGTATGAGATGTCCCAATAATAAGCCAATAGGCTGAACAGAGATTTTTTTAAACTGCCAGTAGAGTCACAAAGTTTGCTAAAGCTTCTACATATTCATCACAATTTACAAGTCATTATTAAGGTGGCAACATTTTTGGCTGAAATTTTTTAATATATATAATTTTTTATTAAGGATTTTGATTGCAATAGTAAAATTTAATACAAACTAAACTTAAAGGAAAAAAAAGAGAATAGAAGGAATAAAAAGTGCAAGAAAAAAGAGAAAGAGAAAAGAAAAAGAAAAGTAGAATTATAATAATGAAAGAGAAAAGAAATATATAAAGAAGTGACTTCCAACCTTCATCACAAGTATAAACACATTTAGTGACTCTTCACCCCCTCTAATGTTATAAACATTTATCTCTTCATCCCATATCCCACTTCTTATCTATAAACAAACCATAAAACATAATCTTTTCAGTCCTGGTGTCAGCAGAAAGTCATTAAAGGGTTGCTAGAAGTAAAAACATATCTTGTTTTAATCTTGATCAAATAAACCAACTTTATATTCCTTCCTTTTACTTCTATCAGTCTTAATCTTTAGTTTAGTCAAATATTGTTGTAGGATTTGATTTCTCTTCATTTCTCCCATCGCACAGAGTTCTTCAAGACTTTAACAAGCCTCTTTTGTAAATCCAGTAGGAAAAAAAATATCCAGGTCACTCTCTTGGTTTGTCATTAGTATTTCCCTTTTAAATTTTAAAACCTCAGCCAATTTCTTTTGTAGATCCATGAAACATCCTTTTCTAAGTCATTTTCTTGGCCTGTCAGTTGTAAATCCACTTTCAATACTATCTCTATCTTGTCAGCTAAAATTTGTTCTACG